AGTTGTTCCTCCTCGTCAGCATAAACTCACTGCCCCCTAAAGTTCTGGTCTAATCTTTTGAGTTGATGTTGTCAATTTGATCCCATATAGATAGTTCTTAAAGAGCATAATGCTCAAAGCAGGTTTTTATTTATTTTTTTTCTAGTTAAGCTGAACTACTGTTCAGTTTTAAGAAGAACTTCAGGGGATATTTTTGGCTTAAGGTTTAAGATTATCTCAGGACAATAGTTTTGGGGGGTTCTCCAGCCTCCATGGTTCTAGATAGTCTGGAGTCCATGAGAATCTGAAATTCTGTTTACATTTTCTGCTTTTTGATTGGGATTCTTCTATAGAATTTTTTTATGAAAACGTTCATAGTGGTAACCGGGCACCATCCGATTCTTCTGGTGTCGTGGCAAAGAGGGATTTTTTCATGGAGGCAATTAGCCACACTTTCCATTTCCTCTTGGTATTCCTACTCTCCTTCTTCCTCTATTGCTCCAGGCGAATAGAGACCAATTGTTGTGCCTTGGATGGCCTCTTGCAAGATCGTAGGATCGCAGGCACTACGCAACAAATGAGGAGGTAGAACAGAAGGACTGAACATGTTGTTAGGCCGGTTAAGTAAAGATGTTCATGAAATTATGTCCCTGAACCTCCAAATCAAATCCCATAAGGTGTTTGCTTGTACATAAGCAGCCTCAGTGGCTGTTTTTTTTTTGTCATTGTTGTAAATACATCTGTCACACAACTTTGGCCAATTCAGCTTTTTGCAAGTGTTATTGACAGCACTTAACAATAATCACTTGTGCAGCCCCACCCTTAATCAGTGCAATTTTTCCATCACGATAAACTGAAACTCAGTATTCCATAAGCAGTTACCTTTCCCTTCATCTTGGTCTCACCCCTGGTAACCACTAATAAACTTTGGTCTCTATACATTTGCCTTTTCTTGTGTTTTTATATAAGTGAGGTCATACATTTGTCCTTTTATGATTGACTTATTTCAACTCAGTGTAATGTCTTCAGGCTCCATCCATACTGTAGCAGTTTTCAAGACTTCATTTCTCTTACTGGGTGAGTAGTATTCCATTTTATGTATGTGCCACACTTTGTTTATCCATGCATCTGTTGATGGGCGTTTAGGTTGTTTCTACCTTTTGGCTATTGTAAATAGTACTGCGGTGAACACTGGTGTAAAAGACTCTGAGTCTCTGCTTTCAGGTCTTTTGGGTGTATGTATACCTAGGAGTGGAATTGCTACATCATATGGTAGTTCTATTTTTAGTTTTTTGAGGAAACCCTATAGTGTTTCCCACGACTGTACCATTTTGCATTCATACCAGCAATGGGTAAGGATTCCAATTTCCCTACATCCTCACCAACATTTGTTTTCTGTTTTTATTTTAGCCATCCTAGTGGGAGTGAAATAGTATGTCATTGTGGTTTTGATTTGCATCTCTCTGATGGTTAATGGTGCTAAGCATTTTTTCATGTATTGTCGGCCATTTGAATGTTCTCTTTGGTGAAATGTCTATTCAAGTCCTTGGCCCATTTTGTGATTGAGTTATCTGCCTTTTTGTAGTTGTTGAAATTTCATATATATTTTGGTTATTAAATTCTTACTGGATATATGGTTTCTGAAGATATTCTCCCAGTTGGTAGCTTGTCATTTTACTTTTTAGTTAAAGTCTTTTGATGAACAAAAACTTTTAATTATTATGAGGTCCCATTTATTTGT